GAGTGAGAGAGGAGAGAGAGAGAGAGAGAGAGAGAGAGAGAGAGAGAGAGAGAGAGAGAGAATTTTTAATATTTATTTTTTAGTTCTCAGCGGACACAACATCTTTGTTGGTATGTGGTGCTGAGGATCGAACCCAGGCCACACGCATGTCAGGCTACCCCTTGAGCCACATCCCTAGCCCCATCTTTAACTTTTTCTACAAATAGTTGGATCTAGATGATGATGTAAATTTATATTTCAGTTATTTAACTTGAGAATCAAAACATTATATGTGGTAGTGGACCTGTGACAAAGAATACATTGTGAATTCTAATTAACTGATTTGGAATGTAATTATTATATTTATACAGTACATGGGAACAAAATAAGGACTAGTCTTAATTACAAAAATGCCCTAAGATGAATATATCTAGAAAGAGGAGTTTTCTTTCAAAACAAAAAGGAATCATCGTAGTAATAGAGGATTTTTATCTGAGGTAAGATGAATCATGAAGTTTTTAAATGGCTTATTTAATTCAAATTATCTTGGACCTAATATTTGTAAGTAATTTTTCAAAGTTTTATAACCAGAAACTTTATTTTAAAAGGGAAATGTATGCTTTCAGTGGTTTTTAAACATTTGGTTGCATTTTAACTAAATTGGACCTACACAGTGTTTTTACACAGAACATTTTCCTTTACTCATTCAATAGAGGTTTATTGAGTGATACCTACTTGCCAGGCATTAAGCTAACCAATAAGGAATATAGTCATGAATAGAACAAATTTTGTCCCTCTTCTCATGGACCTCCTAGGTTGATATCTTGAAAATCTCTTTCCCCTCCATAAATTCAACTCAAATTAACCTAATGTGAGAAGGGAAGGAAAAAAACAACTGGCTTATGCAAAGTCAAGTCACAGTCTGACTTGAGGCATTGGTTCAGGTTTAAATTAGGTGTAAATAACTTTATCACTTTGTCTCTCCTTTTCTCTGTAATTGGCTTCTTTTTCAGAAAGGCTTTCTCCATTTTGTGACTTTGGTAGCTCTAGGTGTACATTCTATTAACTGCAAGTCCAGCAGAAAGTACTTCTCTTCTTAGTAATTCCATCTGAAGTCTCAGCGTTTTAGTCTCATGTGCTAAGTCTGGGTTTAATGTATTTGATTAAGGGAGACGGGGAAGATGAGTCAACTCATCTGAGCTACTTATTTATTCACTGAGATTAGTGGAATTGTTCCTCAAAGGACAATCAAGGCATATTTATCAGAAAAGATATGATTTGATTTTGGGCAGACAAAATAGATATCCACTTATTTCTTTCCTTTGATTGTTTAGCAGCCGTACTGTATTATTTATTTATTGTTACCTGTGGCTTGAAACAGCAACATTTATTATCTCTCAGTTTTTGTTAGTCAAGAATCCAGGCTTGCTTTAGCTAGCTTCTCTGGCTCAAAAATCTCTTAAGGCTGCAATAACGGTGGAAGGTAGGGCTAAAGGCTCAAAGAGGGAAAATTTGCTTTCAAGCTCATTGACACTATTATTGGCAGGATTCAGTTCAGCAGTGTCTTTTGGACCAAGGGTTTCAGATTTCTCTTAGTTCCTTATAGTGTGTTTTTTCCGTAGGGTATTTTGCAACTTGGTAGTTTACTTTATCAGAGCAAGTAAGTGTGAAGAGCCAGACAGCAAGCATTAAGACATTAAGTCATAATTTTTATAAGGTTATATTTGCCATATTCTTTTTAATACAAGCAAACTCTTAGGTCCACCTCATACCCAAGTGGAGAGATTTACACAGGATACAATTATCACAAGGTGAAGATTGTTGGGAGCCATGTTACCACATACACATACCTTCATCCATATAATTCAGAAATATATTACTTACCTAATGCAACTATTACACATATGATTTTAAAACAAACTCATATCACCTCCTAAAAAGAAGATAATTTAGACTCATCCAGTTATTGCATCCAGCATCAATTCTTTGGTCTGGAAAACTGTAAATATATTTTAACTTTTCTCCTCCCTCCTCCTTCTCCTCATATTCTCATTTTACAATGATTAAACAGTTTGGAAAAGAAAAAGGAAAACAACACACAGTGATGACCAAGCCCCTAACTCAAAACCAGCTTGATGGGAATATCCTGAAAACTTTTTGTTAGCAATAGAGTTAGTTGCTTGGTCAATTTGGTCAGTGTGCCTTCCTGGGAAGATCTCCTTGGACATTTTGGAGTACACCCTTTGTAGGGGCTGTACTTTTCAGAAGCCTACTTTCTTTTGTTGTGAGGTGGGGTCCCTGGATTTCCATAGGGACTGAACAATCACAGCTTTTCACTTGTAGGGTGTAAAATTTTACAGTATTCTCAGAAGCTTAGTAGGATTTTGGTTGACCTGTGTTTTATTAACTCAGAAACCAGAGATCTTATTCTTTTTTGTTATTGTTCTTTTTAGATATACATGACAGTAGAGTGTATTTTGACATATTATACATACATGGAGTATAACCTCCCATTCTTGTGGTTGTACATGATATAGAGTTACACTAGTTGTGTATCCACATGTGAACATAGGAAAGTTATATCCAATTTATTCTACTTTCTGTACTATTCCCATTCCCACTTCCCTTCATTACCCTTTGTCTAATTCATTAAACTTCTGTTCTTTCCTCACCCAATTGTATGTTAACATCTGCATATCAGAGAGAA